GAAGGAGTGCATCCCAATGCCAATACCTCTGGGTTGTGTCTCTTACCTTACTAGGGTGCAATGTAACTACAGCACAACAATACAGGGAGCATCAGCCTTGCTGACTTGTCAGAGATGCACTCCTTTTCCCTTCCAATACAATTCAAGTGGCTTTCACTGTCATCACCAGGCAGCCAGATCTGATTAGCTTCACGACAGCATCAAGTTAAAAAAAAAAATTATCCAACTGGCTATATTTACTAACAGAACAAAAAAGCTCTGGTCAAAAAACAAAAAGGGTATGTACAGATGTAGAAATGGAGTAGAGGAAGCTGCAAATCAGGGATTGGGGTTCAGGGACCAGTTTGTGCTGCTCCAGTCATCTTTCTCCTTTTTGAGGGGAAAATGTGGCACAGTCAAGAAAAAAAATGGATTGTGCACATCCACACACTGCATTTTCCAGTCAGTGAATAAAATATACAAGCAATTCTATGATTCAGCATCAAAATGCAGTATACATAATTTTGACCTCTATAAAATATTTATACCAGAATGGATCCCCTTAAATGAATTGGTCAGTGTCTCAATCATATGTATCCCTATTGCTAGTAGAATCAAAACCATTTACTTATTTCATTAATGAACTAAGGCATTAAGCAAGTCACTTTCTCTCAATCTCATGTGCAACTCAAGGATAATACATTTCAGACTGTAAGGATTACTGAGATAATATCTATAAAGAACTTTCCACATTTGAAACATATTACATAAAATATTGCTATAAATGCTAATTATTGTTATTATCCAAGTTGATATTGTAATCACTTTTCCAGAATTCAGAAGTCCAGTATAATTCAGAACTACCTGCAATTGTGAAATAGCTTTCCTATAAAAAACCCAAACAAAACACACCTATCTGAGGCACTTCAGCTATACTACTCTTTTCACAAGGAATGAGTTCACACATCATGCTAAGCTACCCTGAGAATAAGCCACTATGGGTTGGCTGTTCACTTGTTAACCAGACAAACTATCAGAAGCTTGCTGCGGATTGTTTTTGCCCCAATCTTCCCACCAATCCCCATCATGTATCTCAGGTGCCTTTGCAGCAGAACTGTTATTTTCTTGGCCCCTACATCAGCACCCTTTTCTACAACTGATCCATTGGATTTCCAAAGGAAACTCCACATACACCCATCAGATTGCCAAACTGAATTAATTTTCTGAGCACTTATTGACTCAGTAAAGTGTTCACAATTTGTAAAACAAAAATTTCAGAGTCTTGTGCAAGAGCATTTGTCTGCTAATCAGCACAGCATACTGATGCTCCTCCACTCTTGTTAACATCCTTGTCAATTTCATCCTCCACTTTGGCACTTCTCTTGCTAGCAAGCAAGGCTTGCTTCATGCAGTCCCATGCAATTGCTCCTACCACAAAAGCCTCCTCATGCAGCCACTGGCTGTGTTCAACTCCTCACCCCTTCATATTTGTCAGTTCCATCTCTTGGTCTCCATTGTTAACTGTCAGATATACATGTGAGGTACAGAGCAGTAAGACTGATCACTAAAATACGCAAAATTTATTGTCAGAGCAGTAAAGCTAAGGGGAAAATTACATCCATTTCATGTTAGAAGAGTGAGGCAGATCTCTACAAATACACACATTTTATGGCATAGAAGTAAAGCTAAGAGGAAAAGATGCCTAAGATTGAAATGTTTTTTTTTTTAAACTGTTACAGGATACACATGCATTTACTTCAATGTCATATCTTCTTAATGTATGGCAGTACAGGGTGGAGGGCGCTGGAAAGGAATGAGATAGGGTGGTGGCAACACTAGTGGGATCACAAAAAGTGGCAGGGAGGTTTTACCACTCTTGCAAGGTGGCTTTCTAAGCTTTCTAGAGAAGTCACAGTTCAACCTACTGAATTCAGTTATCACAACAAGCCAACATAAACAACCGAACAAGTTATGAATTCTCAGGGAGGTTTGGTCTTAAAAAAATAAGCCACCCTGAAGCCATCAGGTTTGATGACACAACCACTCACCTTAGGTGGGTGGTTGTGTCACTTGAATCCGGCCAGTATATGCTAAGTGAACTTAATAGGGAGTTTGCCTGTAACCAACAGACCACTACACCAAGGCTCATCGAGTTACATCTAGTAAAGCATAAAGAAATGAAAGCTACTATGGGGGAAGAGGCAGAGTGAACACTCAATGAGCAGGACAATTACAGCACCTACACCACATGTTCACATATCAAAGACAAGGAAATGGTAGAGTCACTGCAAGACAGTGGATAGAGAATGGGCTTGGCTGTCATAGCAGTAGAGGAACTCCTCCACCCTGCAGGAGAAGAAAGAAGAAACAATCACAGCATAATGGGGATGAAAGCAATCCCCATTAGATGAAAACATGGATGTGTATGCAGCATAGCACAATCTATGTGCTGACTAATACAAAACCTTAAAAAATGCTGCAAAGGCTCACAACTCACCACAGGTCAGGTCACCAGAAGTAATCCCACAGCATTTCAATCAACCATGATACATGTTAGGTGTGTCCTTGCATAAGGTCTGTATTAATGTAGGTATATGAAAACAATCATATAAGGCAGTTAAAGAGAGGTGTTAAAGACATTACACAACACTAAAATATAGTTTATATTTTGTAAATCATTGAGAAATGTCCAAAACACTAATTAGGTAATTAGTGTGATATAGAAATAAGTAAAAGTCATCAAACTCATACTGCATTCATAGAGTCCTGAACTGCAGTTTAATTTGTCCAAACAACAGACCATTTTTCTAGCTGCACCAGACTCATTATCTTGGCAAAGAGATATTGAATCATAATAAATTTAAACAGCTGATCTAAGCTAACAAGAGCATCCTCTTGTGCAGTCATTTTGTTAGCATCTGGTAGCTTACAACTCTAGGAATGTAGGAAGCTGCCTTATAAAAGTTAGATCATAAGTCCACCCAGTCTAGCATCATCAACACTGACCATCAGCAATCATCCAGAACTTTTCCTGTCCCCGTTGGAGGGTCTGCAGATTGAATCAGGGCCTTCAGCAAATAAAGCATATGCTCTACCACTGGACTACCTGCCAAACATCGAGGGCAAGAAAAAATAGAAATATAATATTACACCTGTATTTACTAATCTGTGATCCCATATGAAAAGAATTCTAACTTGGCAGACTAGGTCTCTTTCAAAACAAACAAAGTTCAACTTTATTAACCCCAATGCTTTAATGTTCAAAGACTGCATGTCTATGTTTTACTAGAAGACATGAAATCCTCAGATTTCAGATACTGGCACTGCACATTTAAATAATACACAGTCATGTGGATGAAAACCTAAGAATATTTCATTCCTCAAGGAAAAAACTCAAAATCTTAGAAAATAAATCTTGAAAGTATTCCATGTAGATATTAACAAATTTAAACAAAAGCAAGTAAATATATTATTCATCACTAGGCTTTCATTAACAACCAAAGACCAACCAGCAACCTAAGCAAGTGTCAGTTTCCTACTTTTGTTTGCAACCAGGCACATGACAGTCTCCATCCAATGAGGAAGTATTATAGTTCTGCTCTGCCCAGGAAAAAGCAATCTATTTATGAGAATTCCTGCTCACTGCCTTTCATACCTGACACACATATACATACTGACCAGCCAAAAAGATTATGTCAACAGTAGTGATAAGGCTCAGCTCTAACTTCAATTTTAAAATCTCTTCAGTGTCTTTCCACAAGAAAGTTTTGGTAAGAAATTATCCAGAGTTTTCGCAGTAAAACTTATCTGCTTTTAAGATTGTGAAATCTGGTCTTAATAGTTACTTTAAGAACATTATCAGGATTCACTCTACTAACGTTTAGTAACTCTCTGGGGATCAAGCTATTTGGCGGAAGATAGAACACTTTTTCACGGCTTATCTCCCCTACCTCAAAACTACTTAAGAGGAATTCTCCAATTACCCCTCCCCATCCCGGATACCAGCACTCTTTACAAGCCTATTGTTATCAGACACTGCAACGGTTTGCTCAAAACCAAATGGAAAAAGATTTCACCAGATCCCCTGAGAGATTCCATTCAGACTCAAGATCCCGAAATCTGAAGGCACGGGCAGCGGAAAGCACCTAGCCTGTGTTTGTTTATACACGATCCTAAACCACGAGACAGCTTAGAAGGCAAAGGGTAGTGTTAGTGATCAGCCAGGTGGTGCTAGCGAGGATGCAGAGGGCGGACTGGCAAGCGCAGGGGAACCAGCAATAAGTTCGCTGCCCTGGGAATTGCAGGGGATGGACAAGCCGAGGCCTGCACTATCAACTGTACTGCCCCTTAAGAATGGGAAAAGAAAACATTACCAGGAAGGGGGTTGGGAATTAAACGGGTGGGAGTTGCTCGCTTACAGCGTGGTGGAAAGAGGCGAAGGCGCAGGAGCAAAATATGAGCAGCGTCGCTTTCCCACAGGGTGGAAATGACCGGATGGGGGTGTTATTTTTACATGAATGGAGAGCTCAGGCGCAGGTACGGATGGATTATTTTCTCGGTGAGAATAGGCAGGGGCTCATGGAAGTCGGCCTCCCGTTTATCAAAAAGGGATTGTGGGGGGGGGGGATATTAACTGTTGAAATGCAATGGTACCAGTATAATGTACAAAGGAAGGAGTAAATCAGAACGGACCTCTCTGCGAGGCAATCGTGGGGGGGGATACCCGCCGGTGCAACCCTGGGGCTGCCGGGTCTCTCACCTCGGGAAGGGGCGGAGCCTCCCCGCGGCGAGGATGGAGGCGTTTGCAGGAAGCGCTGCCGCGGGCGGCCTCACCTCCGAGGAAGGGGGGGGGGGGGATGGCCGGGGTATGCGTGCGTACGGGGCTTTCTTTCTTTCTTCCTCTTGTGGGGGGTGGGGACGGTTTGCATAACCTCTCACCCCTTCATGAGGGGCGGGAGCGAAGAGAGGGAAGAATGGGGAGCCTGAAAAGCGAACTATTTCCCAATTTCTCCGTCTCTCACCTCGGTGGGGGGGCTGATCTCAAACAGGTCCAGCCGGTTCGCGTTCCAGTGGTTGATGATGTCGGCCAGCTTGCGCCGTTCCTCTTCCCGGCTACCTCCACCGCCGCCCGACATCCTCCTTAGCTGCCCTCCAGGACTCTCAAAGCCACCACCTATACGATAGGAGGGCCGCGCCGGGCCGCACGGCTAGTGCGCAGGGTTCCCGATAGGGTGTAAAAATAATAATGAATAGTAGTAATGGGGGAAGCGCAGAGAAGTCAGTCTTCTGTTACCGCCCCTCGCTGAGCAAAACCACCTCCTTTCGGAAAACCAGACTTTGCCCTTTCGCTTCAGTGCAGACACCGAGCGGCTCTCGGTTCGGTGGCAGCGCTTCCTGTTCAGCAGCTTCTCTCCTTTGCCTCACGGATCACAAGCCGCCGCCTCCCTCCCCGCCCCGGTTGTCTCCTTTCCTCCCCTCCCCTCCCCGCCTTTTCTCACAGAGCGCGAGCGAGACAGGCAGACACCGTTCCGTGCGCGCGGCCGCCCGGCCGTTCTACACGAGCGCGTCACAAACGCCGCTCGCCACCAACCCCCACCCAGTCCTCTTGGCGCGCGTGCGCGCGGCCGGCCGCCCGCCCGAAAGAAAGAGCGTATGTGTGTTTGTGTGGCTGCGGATGCGCGCGCGCGCCCGTGTGCCTGTGTATGTGTCAGGTTACTAGCCGGCGAGTGCGCGCTTCCAAAAGAAGCCGAGCGCGTGGTGCCCGCGCCTCCTCCCCACAAAGCTGCTTTCTGCGGTTGTGTGTGCGTGCGCGCGTGTGTCGTGAGGAGAAATTAGCAGTTGAGGGCGTTTGGGTTTGAACGGAGCGAGGAGGGCTATAGCAGCGCGGTAGGCGGTCGAGGCGGCAAGAACAATAAAGGGTGGCGGCTGAGAGGGGCTGGGTTTGCATGTACTAGCGCTGGGCTGCGCATGGAGGTACTGGCGATTGCGTTAAGGGTTTTGTTTTAAACCATTCCCTTCTGAAGACTCAGGAGGAAGATTGCAACCTGGTTAAGCAAGTGAGTGCATTCATTTAAAAAATAGAGTAGGATTTGCTGGATCTAGGTTTACGTGGATCGTTCATCTCCGCCAGAAAGAACTGCCCAGCAAGACCCCGTTACCCACCTGCAGTTTTCTGTGTACAAAATAAGAATAACAGTGGCAGACCTGCTAAGATGGGAAGTTTCCTAGTCATATATTACATTTATTCACACGCCGTTTTCCTGGGATGAGAGGAGCAGAATGGCTGATACGGGCAGCAATCTCATGAACATTTCCCTGGGAATAATAAGTCCCATGGAGCTCAATGAAGTTTACTTGTGAGTAGGCATGTTTAGGATTGCACTGTTCCGGCCACTTACTAAGAGTAAGCCTTGTTGAACTCAAGTGGGTTGTGTGATTTTTTTTAAGTTACTTGCAGTAGATCTTCCAGCAATTCTTTCCCCCAGAAATACCTCCTAGAAAAGATACTGCATCTAGATACTGCTTCTAATGCTGAAGCTAGGTACACTGGAGGTAAACAAGGCCCCGCTGTCATTGTTCTTCCTGTGCTGAGGCAATTATTTCGAACAACAATCGGGGTGACAAATTGCACAGTAAGGAAGCCTGTGTCATGTGGGGGCTTTAGCTTTATAGTTTACTCAGAGAAAAAGTGTTCTAGTAGTCCTTTTAAGCTGAATAATTGATTTTTAAAAATATTGCAAATAAAATCAATAAAATGGAGATAATACCAATATAAAGTGAACAATATGCTTATCTAAAGAATACGCTTTTCTATCTAAAGTTGAAGATTTGGGGCAGAATGTAGCTCAGAAGGTACAGGGTTCAACCCTAACCCTAGCCTGATAGGCTAGGAAGAAAGAAAACTGCCTGAAATCTGGAGAGCTGCTGCCATTCAGTATTGTAAATAGTGTGTTAGACAACTAGGGCCAGACTTCATGTAAGGGAGTCTCCTATGCTCTATTTTCCCATTTCCCTAGAGGAATAATATGAATAGATTTAGCCAGCTGAAATAAACCAATGTGTTAAAATGCATCGCTCTTCAACAGAATTGTGGGATGCAAGCAGAGAGCCTGCAGGTGTTATGGATCAGGAAAATGGGTTAAGATGTAGGTGTGTGCATGCATATAAACAAAACACACACAAAGCCTATATAAGGATCAGCTGAAGAACTGAAATTGGGATAGCAAAAGAAAGCAATAAATAAGAGAGAGGAGGATGGCCATGCCCACCTCTCTGCCTTGGTGAATGAGTCATCACCTTGAGTCCAAGGAACATAGATAAAAATGAGAAGGGTGCTCTCATTGTACAGGACATATCTGTCATTAGGTCATGTTTTACACACATTCTTTCTATTCTCATTTGTTTCATAATAAAAGTTTGCATTTTGGAACTCCTCTGAAGCCAGAAACATTCTAAGCTACTATTTTCTGCAAACATCATCAGTCCTCAGTGTTCAGGGGAAGCTTTTTGTGGCTGGACAATGAAGGCTGATATTTAGTTAACATGCATTTAAGTGTTTTTTTGTAAGTGTTAAATGCCTGAGAGTTATGAAGTAGGACAGGGAAAGGCCAAATGAATAATTTGTCTAGTACTTAATTGTCAACTCACAGTGCAAGCATGATTTAGTTTTTTAACTATAGTACTTTTTGTAGACATATCCTAGAGGGATTCTCTACATTTGTTCCTTATCCTGGGGTCTACCTTTGTTGACTACCTAAGAAGGCATATGTGTTATATATCAGGTTCAATCTATGCAACTTCAATCTGTCTCAGTGGATCTGATCTTTTAAACTATGGTACACACTTGCATAAATGCAGGGGGGTTAAGGAGGACATTATTTTTTTCAATGCAGAAATTTCATGTGAAATAAATGACATATTTGAAATGTGCAGTAACAAAATACTTAGAGTTTATGATACAGCTATAAGAGAGTTAAAGTATCCCTTTAAAGTTAGAAAAATGAAAAGGCGCTTCCACATAGCCAATGCAGGAGATAGTAGGATTTTTATTTATTTATAGTGCCCAATAGGCAAAGCCCTCTGGGCAGTTCACAGCAATTAAAAAAAAACAAGTACAATAATGAAAATGGATAATAAATACAAAAGCAATAATAAAAAATCAAGTTCAATAAAGTTCAATATACAAAATTTAAAATTCCAAAAACTATCTCATTAAAAACTAGACCTGTGCAAACTGTTTCATCATTTGCCATTAAATGTCTCAGAGCAGTCTAAACTTGCTGACAAAACCTGGTGTTCATGCCAGGTGGACCTCAATGGGAAGACTGGGGGATGGGGATTACTGCTGAGAAATCCCTCTGCCTTGTAGCCACCTTCCAAGCTTCCCTTGGAAGTCACAGTCTGGACAAGGCCTCAGATACAGATAATAATGCCCAGGTAGTTTCAGGTCAGAAGAAGCATTCCATCAGGTATTATCACAAGCCATGTAGGGCTTCCTGTGTTAAAGCTAGCATCTTTTTTCAGGCTCAGAAGAATACAGGCAAGCCAGAATTGGTCTTACAAGTTTGAACCCTCTTGTCCCAGTTATTAACCTGGCTGCAGCATTTTACACAAGCTGCAGCTTTCAAACAGTTTTCAAAGGAAGTTCCACACAGAGTGCATTGGAGCAGTCTAATGTCAAGGTTGCCATAACACTTTCTCTGTCCATATAGAGGTATAGCTGGGCAACCAGCCAAAGCTGATAGAAGTACTTTGTGCCATTGAGGCTTTCTGGGCCTTTAAGTGACAAAGATGGCTCCAGGAGGGTGATTGTCTAGCATTTTGCATGGCCCAAAATCCTCATGACTCCATGAAAACACACCGCAATATAGAACTTATTATGATCAAGTTAATAAGAATATTCTCATACAGCAGGGCTACTGGGAACAAAATGACATCACTGCAGAGATACACTCACGGTATGTTCTTAGAACATGCCCTTCATCATACATGCTGCAACCACAACCCTAGCAGAAGTTCCATTATCAAACCTCCTCATCTGTGATGTTTGTACCTTGCAAATAAACAGCTTTCCCACATAATGAGAAATATTACAGGTCAAAACAACATCATGGGGAACCCCTATAAAAACCTGTGATCAAGGCAAGCTGATAGCACTTAAGAATCCTTCCCTAGAAGCACCTTACTGAGTCAAATAGTGCTATATGTGGTTTTCCATGTCATTTATAGTTTTCTTCTCTACATTCATGTTACATTGCCAGCCCTTAAAATTGCCCATTCTTTGGGGCACCATAATGCAGTGATTTCAGGAAGCTTTTTAGGAAGACTTTTTCAATAGAATTTTAATGCCATTTTCAGCCCTTCTGAGACTTTTCTATACAGTTAATTGTTTTTTCTATAAAAACATATTTCCTACTTCTTGATCTTTTTCTCAAGAATGTTGAACTTCTATTGCATGGATTTCAGTTTTGCACAAAGGAAATGCTGTCTCTTCCACAGATCATTAATCCATTGTATTGCAATTGCTGGATGGAAGTTGGGTATAAATAGGGTCTAAGCTGGTTGTAAAAAGCATGGCTACAGAAGAACTACAGAAGTGTACTGTCAACAATGAAGGAATCAAAATTGTGAAAGATTTTGTATACCTTGGCTCAACCATCAGTTCAGCCAAGAAAATTGAAGATAGAGACTTGAAAGGACAGCAATAAAGGAACTAGAAAAGATGATAAAATGGAAGAATGTTTTATTGGAGAACAAGCCAAGATCATCCACACCATTGCATTCCCAATCACTGTATGAATCTGGAAGCTGGACAGTGAAGAACGATGAGAGGAAGAAAATGGGTGCATTCAAAACATAGTCCTGGAGGACAGCTTCACAGATGCCCTCAACTGACAGAAAGGAAATCAATGGGATCCTACATCAAATCAAGGCAGAACTTTCTCTGGTAACAAAAATTATAGAAATGAAGCTGTCATACTTTGGACACATCATGAGAAGGTAAGACCTACTTGAGAAGGCAAACATGCTAGGGAAAGGTGAAGGCAGAAGAAGAAAAGAAAGACCAAGTATTAGATAGATCAGTTCTGTAAAGGAAGCCACAACCTTTAGGCTACAGGAGCTGAGCAGGGCTGTGAAAGACAGGACATTTTGGAGAACATTCATTTATAGGGTCATATAGGATATGGCTTGATGGCACATAACAACAACAACGAACCAACTGTAGCAAATACATTCTTATGCCTTTTGTGTTCCCTTCCTCCATGATGCAAATCCAGTGCAGAAGCAGTTACCTAATGATAATTTTCAGTGGGTTAACATGAGCTAGGTGACATCTCCTGAAAAGGATTCACATTTTTAATCCTTTTGAAACTGTTCTCTTGAATTAAGTATGGGATTTTTATATTTTAAATGTATGTTTGTAAGCCACATCAAACTGCAGGAGAGAA